GATAAGGTCCACTGAGGACAATTTCTGGAAGGTGGGTTGAGTGTACATGGTGAGTTTCCATGCATCTGATAAAAAATCTGGGATTTTATTTATTTGGAATTTTTGTATGCTGTCCCATTCGCATAAGCCTCGGGACGGCTTCCAACATCATAAACATCATACAGATAGGTACATATAAAATCTGGATTCATCCTGGCTAAAAATTTAAAACCAATAAATAATAATAATAAATAAATAATAATAATAAGATTGGAAGAGAAGGAGCCTTTAAGAAGGCACGTCTTTGGATGATCCAACAGACAGTTCCCCAGGTAACATCAGCTCTGATAGCCCTATATCTGCTTTGCTGTTTTGCACTACTAGGGACATAAGACTCTGAAGATGATGAACAACTACAGCTTCCCTCAGCCCTGGCCAGCATAGCCAGTAATGACAGATCATGGGAGCTGCAGTCTAGCGACATGTGGAAGAACACATGTTCCCATCCGTGCTTTGCACAGCAGTGGGAAAAGGTGGTTCTGGCATCCAAGACAGATGGTGATGGACTATGGAAATGCTGGCCACAAGAGCTGTGGTTTAGCTTTGCATCTGCTGGTCATTAAGTACTGTGAAAGTTAAGCTTGCATAGCAGGAGAAACGTGGGAGCTTAGTTTCCATCCTGCTTGAAGACCAGTAGGATTTGAGCTGCATCCCAGGCAATACCTTTCTATATATTGCATATATGCCCTTACAAATATGGAACTGCCAGTTTCTGTATGGATGCTATCTTAAAACATTTATATTTTGGTTTAACAGTAAACAGTTCAACAGAGACATGGTTTATGGCTTAAGGTATATTATAAGATTTGTTATGCTGGGTTAGATCAAAGGCCTGTCTAGTGGAGCTTTATGATTGTACTGTGGCCAACCAGCTGCCTATGGGAAAGACATTGCTACAGCTTGGTGGCCATCACCACCTCTTGTGATAACTAAAGCCATGGTTTATGTGCTGTGTGAAGAAGTACTTCCTTTTTTCTGGCTTGTATCTTCCACAATGCCCCACAGTCACCTTCATGAGGCAATCCCAAATTTTAGAGTTATGGGAGAGCAAGAAAAATATCTCCCTATTTACATGTCTCACACCATGCATAGTTTCATATGCCTCAATATTTTCAGTAGATGTGCCCAAGATAAGTGTGTGACAAGGTGGAATATGCTTGTCCCATAGCCCATGAAAGCTCTTCTGCCCCACAATTCACGCAAGAGGAAATAACTGTAGCTCTTGCTGCACTGGGTTCATAGGAGTGAAGCCGATTTCAAGAAGATGAGGAAGGGATCATGTGATATAAAATAATGTTGGTTGGGAATGTAATTTGGGAGAAACGGAAGGTGGCTCCTAGCTTTGATGCAAAAGAGCTGGACAGAAGTCAAATGTCGTGGGGCAGAGTTAACCTTGAGCATGAATGGCTGCTGTGGCAGATGGGACACCTGTGATCTGTTTGCAACCCAGGTGATCAAGCAGGAAAGCTGTGACTGATGAGAAAGGACAAACAAAGCACTAAAAACATATTTTTCTGTATGTTTTTAGATACAGGGATAAATTCAGTATTTGTTTCCTTAAATATTTCCAGACTGACTCTCGATATTCCAGAAGGTTGCTTGGCTGTTGTGGTGGGCCAAGTTGGAGCAGGAAAATCTTCTCTGCTTTCTGCCATTCTTGGAGAAATGGGGAAAATGGAAGGAATTGCACAGAGAAAAGTAAAGTGATCTCAGTTTGTTTTCAGATCATGTTCATTTGTAAATATGTTTGCTGAAGGTAAAAGTGTATTTCTCTGCTTATTGGAGCCTTGAAAAGTTATTGCAATTTTATATTGTTCTTTAACACCTTGGTTAATACAGGCAGTCCCCGTGTTATGAATGAGTTCCATTCTTCAGAAAATGGAAATTCATCTTTGTAAGCTGAATGTATGCATTAGTCAGCTCACATATAGTTGGCCCTCCATTTTCATGGGGGTTGCAGGCACAGGGCCCCCATGAAAGTGAAAAAAAGTGACTATCTCTAGCCCTGCCCCACCCCCCAAACCTTCCAGAGCTTCCTCTTTGCAGCAGGGAAATGCTGAAGAGATTTCCCTCTCTGGTTTGGAAGAGAAGGAGGGCATGCTTTGGGAGTCTCCCCCTCTCCCCTTTCATTTCCTCTCTCTCTCTCTGGTGATGATGATTTTACACAGTATTTTTTAAATTAATAGGCTTTATGGAATTTCATTCATAATTATGGGTTGTTTGTATCTTGGATGTTTGTAAGTTGGGGACTGATTGTACATTCTTTTCCTGTAATCCCACTCAGAACTTCTATATTTCAGTGTGTGTTTTCTTCCCCCACCATCCTCTGCATTCAGGGTTCAGTGGCTTATGTGTCCCAGCAAGCTTGGATACAGAATTCCACATTGCAAGAAAACATTCTCTTTGGCTCTGAATTGAACAAGCACTATTATGAAAGGGTTTTGGAAGCCTGTGCTTTGCTGCCAGACTTGGAACAATTACCAGTTGGGGATCAAACAGAAATTGGAGAAAGGGTGAGTAAAGATATCCCAGTATGCAAAGCAAGGCTTGAATATTCTGGAAATTAAATTGTACAAAGGGTAACTAAGTTGTATTGGGAATCTGTCCCTAGTAGTTTTCAAAGTGATCTTCAGAATCACAGGGTACTGATATTTATTCTTGGTGGAGCTGAAACTACATACTGGTAGTCTTTGCAACACAGTAATCAATTATTTGCTTACCTACTCTATGGCTTGACTGGCAGAAAACTGAAAAAAGTTGTCTGCTGTATCACTCCCTGTGTCTCAGTGTAGTAGCTTCCCAATTCCACATGATGCCTTTGCGATACTGTAATGCTGGCATGAAGAACAGGTGTTTTTCCACTTTTGCTTGTCACCCCTTTAGCCTGGAGAAACATCCTATGAACAACCAGCAGTTCTGTATTTACATGTGATGATTTAAATAACCTGGAGTTTACAACCAACCAACAAACAATGGGTTCTGTTTCCCAGTTGTCTGCTGACAAAGCAAAACAAAACAAGATTTATTAGCCTAGCTGTATTTGCACATCTTAGCAACCAGAATTCAACAACTTGCTGCAACTTGTAGTAGAAGGATGGGCCTCCTTTATTTTCAGGGTTAGAAGTTAAAAATTGCTTGGAAGTTTAAAATCTATACTGGAATGTAAACATTAAACACCGTAACAGGGAAATGAAAGTAGCTGTCCAACACAAATATCACATTGTAACAATTAGGGATAGAGGATCATGTATGTCCTGTTTTTGCTACATCAATGAAGAAATAGTAGGCAAAAATTTAATTTTTAAAGTATAGGTGCCTTTGAATAGCTATTTTTCCTTCTAGGGAGTAAATATAAGTGGTGGCCAGAAACAGAGAGTAAGCCTGGCTAGAGCTGTGTACAGCAACGCTGATCTCTACTTGCTGGATGACCCCTTGTCTGCTGTAGACGTCCATGTTGGGAAGCATCTTTTTGAGGAGGTGATTGGGCCCTCAGGCTTGTTGAAAAACAAGGTAAGCAAGAAGGTTTCTTTAGTTTTGCTTTTGGACTGGGCATTCTTCTTTTGTGATGTAAAACAGAGTGAGGTAGAATTAGATCTCTGCATTCTTTGCAGTAAATTAGCAAGGATTTCTGACTCCTAATTAGTTGTTCACATGATGAACATCCTTCCTTAAGTTATATGCTACTGAAATGAGGAAGGCTTGGGGTAAACAAATGCATATTTGTGGTGGAGCACTGTGAGCTGCATTCATTTCTGGTACTTAAAACACATTTCTGGGCTCAGAATTCTTTAACTATCAGTAGATGTCATTTGAACCTGGCACCAGTTGGTAGATTTCTAGGTTCGAATAAAGAAAAAGACAGAAGTGGGGGGAGCAGATCTTGCAAGCCTGAAGTCTCTCCATAGCTGATGTAGAATGTAAACACTGTTCTTCTCTCTCCTGAGACTCGCATTTTAGTGACACACAACCTGACACTCCTGCCTCAGTCAGATATCATAGTTGTGATGGAAGCCGGTAGAATTATTGAACTGGGGAGTTATGCAGAGCTGCTGTCTAAAAGAGCAAACTTTGCAGAGCTTGTTCTAGCCTTTGGTGGAGGAAAGGATAATGAAGAAACCCCCTCGATGACAAGTGAGCAAATAAAGTCAATTTGTACATGCTAATTTTCATGATTCTGTTTTGTGAGAACTGAATCTTCTGCTCAAACTGGATAAAACCAAAGCAGGTGTGGCAGCAGGGTAGCACCTTCCTGCACCTTCCTGCTGTGCCCCCCAGTTCCATAAGGTTGGATTATTTTCTAGATCAGATATTTTTTTGCACCCCTGATTTTTGGGAGGAATGATGGTGTCTTTGTGTTGTGCAGATAGGAACCCACTACTTTTTATTCTGTGCTCTTATGCCATACATGTCTCTCCCTCCCTTTCATCCTTACAATCAACCCTCTAAGGTGGGTCAGTCTGAAAGAGGGTGACAGTCCAGCATCAGCCAGTTTGCTTCAAGGATGAGTGGAGATTTGAACCCAGACCTCCCCACTCAATGTTCAGTACGTAGAAACATCACACTGTACAGGCTCCCATAAGTCTCATTAGTTAGACATTATAACAACATTGAATGGGAAAGAGTCACAGTTGCAGGAGGGTAAGGTGTGATCCTGCTGTCCAGCCATACATTGGGCGTATCCAGTTTGCGGCATTTGTGTTACTGCTTAAGATGATTTTCTTTTCCACATTGGAACTGGAGAATACTAACAGTTTGAGTCTTTACACTGCTGAATTTCAGAAGCTGTTATGCAGATCTGCTGTGTCTAAGTGGCAAAGTCCAGATATTTTAGCCATACCTTCCTCTGGCTGGCTAACATCAGTCACTGCTATTTGAGAATCGACTGTATAAATCAGCTTTCTGCAATAGGTAGTACATTTCTGTCCAGTAGAAAATGGATTAGAACAAAAATTTTAAGAGCAGTGATGGTGTTGGAAATCATAATGTGTTCATCAACATCATTGACTAATGAATGGACAAATCTAACTGAATGTTTTTGGTTTGACTTCCTGTTTTCATTTTTCCATCTTTTCATTTGACTGCACTCAGTTACCCAGTTTACATATAGCAGGCATGGATTATTTAGTTGTTGCTGCACAGTAGTGAGCATGCGATCTCCTCTGTTCCTGAAAAACCCACAATTCCAAGACTGGGTTGAAAGCAGCTGGCTGAAAGCAGAAGTGCTGAGTGTGGTGGAGGCAGCATGTGCCCTTACCACTGTGCAGCCCTGCTTTTTCCTGGGTTGAAAAACCAAGGAGTTGGTGTAATGTTCAAACTGCGTCAATTTGTTTCATCCATTGGAATGCAAGCAAAAAATGGAAAAGCAGAAGTGCTTCCACTTGTTTGCATAATGTCTTGCCCAGTGTCACACAATCTCTTCTGCAGTTCTTGCACAAAGCAGTGCTAGTGCTGGATTTCTTTGGCTGGTGCATTTCTAGTTCTGATCTTGTACGATGTAACATTTTTACTGGGTCATTAATGTCAGTTTTTTTAAAAAAACATTGTTTCTTGTAGAACCAAAAGGAAATACTAAAATCAAAGACCATATAATACCAAAGGAAACACAACATCTGCAGTGTAAAGAGAAGTGAGTACTCTGAAATAACTGATAGAGCCAGTGCATATGATATGTAAAGGGGTGGGTGGGCAACAGCCAAAATGCCAGTTCATAATGCTTCTGGTGTAGCATTGAAAGAGGTACCAGCTGCTGATCTCACCTGTGCAGTAGAGAGCTGAGTGCCAGTGGTGGCCAGTGTGAAAAAGCTGAAGGTCTATGAACTTACTCTTTTGCCTTATACCTGGAACAAACCATCCATCCCTGACATGCCCAGATTTTTCTCTTTTTACCCCCATACCCAATATTTGGGCTGGGAGGAGCAGCTCTGAAATGAAGTTTTTGGCTCAGTGTATGAAAATCATTCTTTAATGGCCACAGTTCTTCACAAAAGTGGAACACCCAAACAGTTTAATACTCAAAATGATTTGGGAAGATAGCTGTGCTTAGTGAAACTGCTTCCTCACCAACTGGAATAATTTGATTTGGATCTGTGGTTACTGTTTATATATTATATTAATATAAAGCAAGATCTTCATTTTCTTCAGTGAAATGTGGGTTGGTCTTCCCCTGCTGCTTTTTTGTGTTTAAAAAATGCTCTAAGCATTTGGAGAACCTCCACTCCCCAAAACTGTTTGGGAAGGGATGTGCCAGATGAAAATCAGATTCCTGTTCTATCCCTTATGCAAGTGGCTGTGCCTTTTGTTTATGGTCCAAACTTTAGTGTGGATATTCAAGAAAATTAGTTATGATTAGTTGTGATTATGCACCAGCATGGGTTATCTTCTCCAATCCTTTCCCCATGTAATTAGTGTGAAATTAGGACATAGTTTGCATTCCATGTCCCTCAGGGAAGTAGTCACTGTATAATCAGTGGAGTCACAAGTTGAAAATGCACAAGTTAAAGACAAATTTCTGTGCCTATTTTTATTTCAATGTAAAATTACATTTTTCAATTCTTCTTTTGATCACAGGAGTATGTTCTCCATGAAGAAAGAAAAAGTAGCTACTGGTACAGTAAGTATTTTTAACAGTTATTTACATATTTCTGTAATAGGATGTGCAGTTAAAATAAGAGGAAAGGATACATGAAACAACAACAATAAATTCAGCTATTTAGAGAATGGGAGAATTTAATTTTGAGGATCATGACTCACATCCCATGATGCCAAATCAAATTTATCAGTCCCTGTTAGGAAGTATAAATATCTTATAAAGAAACCCTGACCTGAATTGAAGGAATTAAGTTGTGAATAATTTGCTTGTTCAAAGCCAGCCCGGGTGGAAGATGTATGCAAGTGCAGGGGAAGTTTTCCAGAAAACTGGTCCAGCAGAGCTACACCATCTGCAGATTGGCATAGTTGATGGACCTAATTCCAGAATCTCTTGGGAACACATAAGTCTTCATGCCTACCTTCAGTGGCAGATCTTTGTCCATGGAGGGCTGTGAAGGTAGTCCCTCACTCCCATCCAAATTCACTTGAGACAGCAGATCTGCAGATTTGTTCTTGTTAGTCACGAAGTCGTGTCTGACCTATCGCGACCCCATGAACAACATTCCTCCAGGCCTTCCTGTCCTCCACCATCCCCCGGAGTTGACTCAAGCTCACACCACCTGCTTCAGTGACTCCATCTAGCCACCTCATCCTCTGCCGTCCCCTTCTTCTTTTGCCATCTATTGTTCCCAGCATTAGGCTCTTCTCCAGGGAGTCCTTCCTTCTCATTAGGTGGCCAAGGTATTTGAGTTTCATCTTCAGTATCTGGCCTTCTAAAGAGCAGTTAGGGTTGATCTCCTCTAGGACTGACCGGTTTGTTCACCTTGCGGTCCAGGTGACTGGCAGGAGTCTCCTCCAGCACCACAATTCAAAGGCCTCAGTCCTGCGGTGCTCAGCCTTCCTTATGGTCCAGCTTTCACAGCCATACATTGCAGCTGGGAAAACCATAGTCTTGATCTGCAGATTAGGGTTGTGATTTTTGTTTTTTACCTAATTCATTTCCCAAAAGTGATCTGTCTTTGTGTGTGTGGGTAACTTTGGTGTGTATCTCTTTACATTCAGATGAAATTCTCAATTGTTTTGAAATACCTACAAGCCTTTGGCTGGTCGTGGATGTGGTTAACTACAGCAGCTTACTTGGGTCAAAATGCTACAGCCATAGGACAAAACCTGTGGCTGAGTACATGGACAACAGAAGTAAAACAAATCAAAGACTTTGGCGAATGGAAGCACTTAAGAAACCACAAGCTCAGTATCTATGGGCTCTTAGGTTTCATACAGGGTAAGTCTATGCTTATGAGTAACTGGACCACTTCTTTTAGCTTACCAAACTTTACTGCTTTGGCATTCCTAAACTTAATAACCTCTAATATTTGGATTGATTAGGTTGTAATGGTAGTCTGAGGGGTCATGTCATACAGCTGTTCTGGAGGACTTGGCCCTTCTTTCGCCATTTACAGATGGCAAACAAGTTTTTTGTATTTGTCAAGATCACAAACTAACTGATGTAGTTGTAAATTTCAAAGAGCAGATGCTTGTTAAGATAGTGCCCAAAACCACACCACCAAGAAGAGTTCAGAAATTCAGTTCAGAAACCAATTCTAGCAGTTCTTCTGGAAGCTCTGGGGTCTTGATTGCCCATTGAAGACCAAGCCACCCAAAAGACTGTGCATTACAAAGGGAACACTATGCTGTAACTGGGAAAATGCATTCACAGCCCTCTTGAGTATTGCAGCTAAACTTACAGGGAAATCTGAAAGCAGATGACATCAGGATACTTGCCTGATACAAGGAGCTGTTCCCTAGAGCTGTCGAGGATGCATGGTTAATTGTCCTGTTTGCATCTCACCAAGAAGCCACCATGAGTGAATTTCTTGTCACATTGCCTGCTATCTGAAGCAGCCATAGCTTGCCATCCTGCACAACAACCCACCCATGCCAGGTGTGCACATCAGGAGACTCCAGTAGCAGGCCGCTATCAAAAAGAGCAGTTGCCAGAGAAGCCCTCATTCTGAAACTCAGTGTATGGTAGCAAGAGAAGTCTTTCAATTACTGGTGTTCCACCTCTGGATTGCGCCCTCAAGGGAACTTTCTGCCACCCACACTGCTCTGTTTTTGGCATTAAACTAAGATCTTTGTGTACTCCTGGACTGTTTAAGTCTTTTTCATTCTTTTAAAGTATTTTTTAGTGTTACTTGGTCTATTCAGTGCAGTTTTCCTTCTTCCTGATGTTACATTTTATGTTCTGTTGGCATTTTCGTTAGTTTTATATTGTTGGTTGTTCTTTATTGGGATTTTATTTGTAGCATTATGACCTTTTTTCATTGCACAATGCCTCAAGAAATGTATTTTTTGAAGATTTTAATTGTTAAACAGCATGAAAGGAGAAACTGCTATTGGGAATGTTTTGAAATGAAATTGTCCCCCTTCTCCTGAACAACCTTAATTTTGTCTTTCCTTTTATTCCCCAAGGTCTTTTGGTTTGCTGTGGTGCATATGTGCTTACTAGAGGATCTCTCTGTGCCTCTCGGGCATTGCATCATCAGATGTTAGATAGCGTGCTGCACCTTCCACTCCGGTATTTTGAGACTAATCCTCTTGGTCAAATCATCAACAGATTCACTAAGGTAAAGAGCAAATAATAATCATAGTTTTAGTACCAACTTGTTGGGATGTGGGTTAGGAGGTGCTGGTTCTCAACCATGGAGCATGAAAAAAGGACTCATCCTTCACTGCTTGCATTTGCAGGGTGAATGGTTCTTACATTTTTATCACTGCAAGAAATACTGTTGCATCTTCTAGCAGGGAAAGATGCATAGGGTGACTTTTGCCGTTTCTTCTGTTAATCCGAAAATGTCAGTAAAAGATAGCATGCTAGCAGGTTTTGAACTTGCCTTTCTGTGATGGGAGGTAGAAATACTGACTTATGGTACACCCCCAGAAGTTGTTACCTTTACTGAATATTCTTCTGGACTATGAGTAGGCTGAAGTTGAAAGTTTTCAATGTACACATTGTCAGAATCAAACTTTGGAGGAAGATGTGGCAGCAGTCAAGGATCTTGGTATAAATGCCCTGCTGTAGGTTGAGTGACTGTCTACAACCTGATCCTGAAAGGGAAGTAAGGATAAGTGCACTTAAAATGGTTTCCATTATTGTCCAAATTTGCTACCATGTTTAGACTACTTGTCTTTTAATAACATTTCAAGCTCTGATGCCAACCCGAAAGACTTCTGGCCATTGAGGACTGCTTTATAAGCCTGGTGATACATTGAAAATTGAGCTTTCACCTTTTCAACTAAATGTTGTGTGTTTTTCTAGGACATGTTTATAGTTGACATACGTTTCCATTACTATCTACGGACCTGGCTGAATTGTACACTGGATGTTCTTGGAACAATCCTTGTGATTGTGTTTGTATCACCTCTGTTCATACTGGTGGTAGTTCCACTTGGATACCTATATTTCACTATTCAGGTAAGTTCATGAAACTTAAGTGGGGGGTGAATAATCCACAGTAGCCTTGCTTTTCTTCAGTGATGAAAGGGAAAGGAAAGGAAATTAGTTTCTCAGGGGCAGTTGACTCGCATTGCATAATGCAAAGAATAGTGGCTATTCACAATGCTAAGGGCATTTTAATCCTAAATTAGGAAGAGCTAGAAAGTCTTCTGGTCCCAAACAGTATTCTTGCAGTTCAGCCAAGTTCAGATCAGCTGAAATAGCTTTCATGTAGCAACTTCTCCACATTGTGTGTGTGTGTGTGTGTGTGTGTATATACACATACACACAGCAGTTCCTCAGTTAGATTTGTCACATCCAATGGTATAGTGGTAAATTTTGAAGAGCTGATATCCACCATGACATTCCTTATAACCATTCCTCCAAGGAGAATTCACAAATTCAGGCAACTCTCTTGATCCATATCAAGAAACCAGTTCTGGAAGTTTCATGACTACCAGTAGGTGGTAATTTGTAAAACTGATGGGCATTAATTGCCCATTCAAGACCCACCCACCTGTGTAAATACTCTGCTTTACAATAGATTGTTGCTGGACAAATTAATTTTCTCCAGGTACTGTGAGGAAGTCAGTACTTCTAGAATAAATCTGGACTCTAGCCAAAGTGCTTGTTTTCAGAACAAGAAATGTCAATAGAGCTCCTTTCCAATAGCTTTGCCTACTTGTTTTGTCTGGAAATTCAGGCTTCATCTCATTTCTGGTTGCTTTAGGAATGCTAGTTTCCCATTGTGCTGACAGTGGGTTCCACTGCCACAAACACAGTACCGGATACTGCCCATTATTCTCATGTTGAGATCCCCCAAACTCTGCTGGGTTACACATGGATATTTAGGTCACAAATCCTTGGATTTAGGCAAATACTCTCTATTAACCTTGTTAATGGACCCAGAGACATGTAATCCTATCAGATGGTGATCGTTTAGCAGTGCATTTCTTCTGCAAACACCCTTCCATTTGGGGCAGTAATTAAGTTGCAGATCAGGTGGTGTGAAAGTAATTGTAAATATATAACTTCCCCAGTACAGATGAAGGGCCAAATTAAACATCACACAATGTGGACTTGACTTGTCCACAATTTAAATGCATGTGATCCCAAATTGGATTGGCTCTGGAAGGAGGTAATTGAAAAAAACGAACATATCTCCACAGATTCCTGTAGCATTGCTTTGTGTGGTGGTAGTGGTATTGCGATTATATCCCTCCCTTTTCCCATCTTGTGAGGAACCTAAAGTGGCTTTCATAGCTCCATTATTTTCCTTACAACAACCCTGGGTGGATCTAATATAGTCATAGGGCCAGTTGGCCTTGTGACTTTGCATATAACTGACCAACCTTTTCATCCTAGGCAGAGTATCACCATTTACTACAACTGTGGATTATGATTTAGTGCATGCAGCAAACTTTTCAAAAGTGGCATGAGCAGAACTATGTAATTTGGTGCTCATGAGGGTTTTAATTCACCTACAGTTCACAGATACAGTTCCCTTTTGAGGATTAAAAGAAAGAAATGCAGGTCCATAGAATGTGTATCAACTAGTGATTCCACACCAATAGAAAGATTTTTCATGTTCCCTTAGAGAAACAGTTTCATTAACAAACTTCACTGATAAAATAGGGATAGTGTTTGGGGTGATATTATTGGCCTACATAAAATGTATATTGTGTCTCCTTGATATGACACTCCTTAGGCCAGAATATGGAAAACTTGCACTAGGTTTTCCGAATGTGTATGGCAGCTTCTTACCTCTGTTTTATTTTGTGTGGTTTTATTAGCGCTACTATATTGCTAGTTCCCGACAAATCCGACGGCTGGCTGGAGCGTCACAAACACCTATAATTTCACACTTCAGTGAAACACTCTTAGGTGTTTCTACTGTCAGAGCATTTGGACATCAAGAAAGATTTATTAATCAAAACAAAGATGTGATCAATGAGAACCTGGTTTGCTTCTACAACAATGTGATTTCAAACAGGTATTACCATAACACTGCAACATTTTGTACTTAAGGGTAGTTTAATATGTTTTGACTCTGGCACTTTAAAACATGGTGGGGTTGAGTATCTGTGTTCAGCCCTTTGATACACTTTTAGAATTAAGTCACAATGATTTCAGTGGACTTACTTGAGAGTAAACTTTTATATATATGCAGTGTGCATTTCTAGAATTGCACTCTGGCACCCATACTGAGAAGTAACACCTATTGAAGTTGGTGGAACTGACTTTTCAGTAAACACTCACAGGCTTGTGCAAACAGTAATCAAACCCAAGTTAAGTACATTTAAGTTTCACTGGTTTCAGTGGGAGAGTGCAATACCTTCTTTATTCTCTACCACTGAACATAACAGAACTTAAAAGACTTAAGTTTGGCTATGTTCCTGAAATAAGCATTGAATATGCTTATGTAATTTTATGTGTCCTATCAAATTGATCAATTGTATTTACTAAAGTGATACCACTGCACTCAAATCAGAAAGGGCTTGACCTTTAGAGAGTAGTTAAAAAAATAAGATTTAATTGCTTATTATATGATTAGTAGCAGGAAATATTGTAATCACATAGAAGCTTAATATAGGAGACTTTAACTCTGTGGTCATAATATTTGTGAAATAGATTTATTCAGTACATGTCAAGCATTTATTTCAATTTTGTATTTCTGGATATGTTTATAACAGATGGCTGTCTGTCAGACTTGAATTTCTGGGCAACTTGATGGTGTTTTTCGCTGCACTGTTTGCAGTGTTTGCTGGCAGCAAGGTGGATTCTGCAGCAATAGGATTATCAATATCCTATGCATTAAATGTAAGTAATTTTTCTTTCTTTTCTAATGTAGTATCTATAAGCAGGGTTGCAGGACTTCTGTGACATTCCAGTATGCAGGACCAGTAACTTTCCATTCAGTAAACTTCTTCTTACAACTTTAAATATGTCACCTTGTAGAAATATATTTGTTATCTCCTGTCAGGAAAACTATTGGGAATCCTTTTTGGAAATGAAAATATAATAGTGATGTTAGTAATCCAAACTAACTACAGGGACACAATGAATGCAAGAAGTGCCAACGTATATTTCCCATGTTATAGTTTGTATGAGTAGAAGAGAGTTGGGGTGTTGAACAGGCATGTCAACTACTTCTGCTTTTAGTCTACAACCTACTTAGGCAGATTATGGGTTCTTGAATGTAATGCATTTACCTGGACTCCATAAACAACCCAGTGGTTAACCTCTGAGTTGTTTAGTCACTAAATAACCCAGCATTCCTACTTTACATGTCACACAGTGCAGCCTACAAGCATTGATTAAAAGTGCAAGGAGTACATTGGTGGCAGTGCTCCCATTCACTCCTGTTTGTGCATGACAAATCACTGATGAATTAATGCCAGATTTATTATTCTCCATGACCTTAGTCTATGGGTAGTTATGTGCAAAGCCAGAATCAGGCTACAGAGACACTGGGGAAGACCCCCATCCCCACTCCAAGATGTTCTACATCAGAGTAGTATAGCACTGCAAAGACATTTGGGATGCAGGAAGGCAGTGGGTAAAGGAGGAGGGAATCAAACATCCCAGGAACTGAAAAAGCAACCTATGCTTTGCGAAGTCATATAGCAGACAAATGATGAGTAAATTCTGGGTCAAGTAACAACCAATTACTTTGTGTTGTTACTAAGTGTGAACTAGACCTGTCTCCAGCAGCTAGCTAACTTATTTATTTATAAATATGCCTAATAGCTGGTGATATGGCATTTCAGAATAATGAAAAAACACTTTGTCCTATATCTTGTTCTATACAGTGATTTTCTGGAGTGAGAATTATTTTAACAGAGCCCAATTCATTGCAATGAGTTTTATAAACAAATATTTATTTCAGATAACTCAAAGTTTGAATTTTTGGGTTCGCAAAGCTTGTGAAATTGAAACAAATGGAATTTCTATTGAGAGGGTTTGTGAATATGCCACAATAGACAAAGAGGTAAGCATATAAAAAATTTTATGAGATTTTTATATAATAGGATGGCATATAAAAGCTTTTAATAAATAAATTTTTAAAATGAAAATAGTGAGTGGACTGATTTTAAGCTGGCATTTTTAAAGTGAAAAAATAGTGCTTCCTCTTAATAAGTAATGGATGGATTCCTTTTTTCTTTTTCAGCTGAGCTTTGAAACTATAATGCTGCAAACTTTTCACAAGTTCACTCTACAATTCTATATGCATTTACCTGGAAGTAAGACCCAGTGGCTTACCTCTTAGTAGCAATTTTACTGTCTTTTTCAGTTCTGTTAGTAGCTTTAAGCTTGGCCTTTCTTATGAAAAACAGGCTGAGGAAAGGAGCGGAGTGGGGGAAAGTTGAACCTTGTTGAACAGCACACTTTGTGGTTTATGTGTTTCAGGCACCCTGGATACTTTCCAAGCGGCCACCTGTGGGATGGCCCAATGAAGGAATAATACAGTTTGTCAGTTACCAAGTTCGATACAGGCCAGATCTAGGCTTAGCTCTACAAGATATATCATTTCAAAGCTGCAAAGGAGAGAAGGTAACATGTACTGAATAAAATACAATGGTTGGATGTCCTGTTGTTCTCATGGACCCCACTGCTCCTGCAACGAGGTTTTTTCTTGCAATGCTAGTTGCTGGAACAGAGCAAGTCAATGTTACTTGCAGAAGCATCTGTTGATGTCTTCCATGTCAGTGATTTCTTCTAGGCACTGAACTTCACCGTCTTTAAAAATGTTGGCCTGTTGTCTTTACTGGACAGCTGCAAATTTTAAATTTCACATTCCTCCTTCATTGAAATGAATTGGACATGTACCTGTTAGAGTATCAATAGGACTATGGGTTGTGACAAATGTGAAGCTTAGCAGATTTGGCAGCCTAATGTCTTGCACCCAGTGGTGTAGTGGATGAGGGCTCCCACAAATGCAGCACCGGTATTTTTTTTTTTTTCAATTACTATTAACTGGGATGCTGACATGATCTTTACCTCCCTCAGAATTGCCTTTTCCCTCCAGGCACAACTGCATTTGTGGAAAGTAGAATTTGTCCACAGTAATATGCTGTTCTTTGTTGTCATGCAAAATATTGTGGAGTGCTTGGTCTTTAATGGGAGCTTAAGACCCACTGGCTTTACAAAAGATCAGCTGCTGCTGGAAGGGAAATTCTTAGCCTTGTTTCGGTGCTATGAATGAACATTGCTGCCTGCAATTTTGGGCACATCTTGGGGCATGACAATGGAGACTGTCACAGTTACCACACCAGCATCATTTTCTTGACCCTTGAACACCCAATCCATTCTTGGTTCAGGTTATAGAGCACAATCTATATTCACATGGCTGAGTACACTCTGTTGAGCTCTGCAGCCTTCCCTCCAGGCCCAAGCAGTGCAGGTGGGTTGTGTGCTTGGTATACCATGACCCTTTTTATCTACTGCTGGTGATCACTAACTTCCTCCTGTTCTTCTGTTCAGTGACTTCTAGTTCTAAAGCTTGTTTTGTTGTTCATCTTGCACTGTATCATCTTATTTTACCTGTGTTGAAATAATTTGGTGAAACTGTATTAATGCTCTGAAATCTGCATAAAGGAACAACGATATGCGTGCCTTCTGAAAAGCAATCTCGTTCCAGATTGGGATCATAGGAAGAACTGGAGCTGGCAAATCAACTTTAACAAACAGTCTATTCAGAATACTAGAAAGAGCTGGAGGCAAAATAATCATAGATGGGATTGACATCTCAACAATTGGTTTGCATGACCTGCGTGGCAACCTTAACATTATACCACAGGTTAGCATCTTTTAGCATACTGATATCATTTAGGAAGATTATAAGAAGTTTAACTTTCTAATAAAAAGGACTTTTGAATGTCATCAGTATTTTACTGCAATAAATTTATCCATTAGATTCACCTTGTAGATTTCATTTTGCTTTTAATAGTTCGGCTGGTACAACTTGGATGAAATCAAATACTTTATTTCAGGGTTGGGTAACTTGTGGCCCCTCAGATGCTTTGCACTGCAGCTCCCATCAGCCACTAGCATAGCTAATGATAAAGGATCATGGGAGCCGTGGATATCATCTTGATCTGGGAGGGTACAAATTCTTGTCCATTCTTGCTTTAGTAACATAACTGTGGGAATAGGGAAAAAAAGAAATGCTGAAATAGTTGTCAGCAGTTTGTAATCAAGGATTCTTGATATGCCTGCCCCCAACCTGCACTGCAAAGCATGGAAGGAACAGTAATTCTTTGAATGCTTCCAAATCTCTCTGAACTTGTATTTGGAAATGAACTTAGTGGAGTCTCTTAAAATCCTGGATCTCAGAGGGAATTTAACTTTACATTTCCCACATTTACCTTCTGGCTTACTTAAAAACTGAACCAGTGAAGAACACTTGGCTCTCCTCACTAGCTAGCATTCCTCTTACAGAATTTCTTAGAAAGCTATGGGCTTATCCAACAAGCAAAATCCATTATAATGTTGTTCCTGTTCTAAGCCTTTTTAACATTTGAGTGTATATTTCTCCAATATTGGGCATAATGAATATATGTATTTTATAATTATTTCCTGCTGTTAAATCATTTTTCAGTGATGAAACATTAAGTGTCAATTCTTATATAAATACATTAAAAACTGTTTTGCTTACATGGAAGTATCACCTAGATATTATTCCATAGGATCCAGTTTTATTCTCAGGGACACTGAAGTCCAACTTGGATCCACTTGGAAAATATTCAGATTTTGAACTGTGGGAAGCCCTGGAATTGTGTGACTTGAAGAATTTTGTACAGTCACTCCCAATGAAACTTCTACATGAGATCTCTGAGGGTGGCGAAAACTTGAGGTGTGATTTAAACCATAATAAGGGGTGGGCTATGTAAACTTAAAAATTGTGACCTCCACTTGCTTATTAGCTGCTTCATTTAATCTTAGTGTTTCAAAATGCTGTTGTGGTGCATATACTCTTATGAGAAACTGGGTAAGAATGACTTTTACTGCCTGGGAATCCATTCCTGTAAAGTCCAATCAGTCTAGCTAAGGTTGCTTGCAGACTGCACAGCATTTCTGCAGGGGGTAGAGAAGGTGAGGGAATGGAGAACATTTCTGGACTTGGCTCCATCTCTACTCAGTTTCCCTTATCCTGAGATGGTCAGATGCATGATGCTAGAGCATGACTGTCTGGCTGCCTCATTCTTTCCCCATTCCAGTCTTGAATACATTGACATATAAACTGGGTTTGTATGTGGCAGTTCATTGTGAGTTGCAACTCAAAATGACTTGTAATGTTCAGCAACCCCAAACTGTTCCCCTGGGATGGTTTGTTTGAAGGCAACAAACAAACTAGACAATGCACTGACTGTTAGGGTTGCTCTAGGAGTTGTTGTGCCTTTGATAAGTTGTAACACTCTGTAGTCAGATGCTTAATTGATCCCAAGCATATGGATCCCTAGGTTAGCACCTGAAATGTCCCAGGCAGCCAGTGTTCCATTCCAAAGCAGTGACAGCAGCTAGCAACTACCTAGTGCTGAACTGAGCTCTAGGAATTTTATGAGACACCATGACTAAAACCACCTTTTGTTTTAATAGCGTTGGACAACGACAGCTTGTGTGCTTGGCTCGTGCATTGTTAAGGAAGACAAAAGTGTTGATCCTGGATGAAGCGACAGCATCTGTTGACATTGAAACGGATAATCTAGTGCAATCTACAATCCGGAAAGAATTTCATAACTGCACAGTACTGACCATTGCCCACAGGCTGCATTCCATAATGGATTCTGATAGGTAAATGCTTACAATTGGTTTGCGTAACCCTCCCCTGTCACCCCTCCACACTTTTTTTAACTACGTTGCTACATAAAGCGCATTATCAATAAGAGCAGTTTGTGGCAGCTCAGTAGAGCAAACAAGCCACTCCATACACAGAAGTCGACATGTTTTATAAACATGATTTGCTGACAAAAAGTAGATTTCCTGACACCTGCTGAATTCTAGGTTGCTCCACTGAATTCAGTGGAGCATGCCAACTGTAATATCTGTAAAACTCAGGACTAGTTCCAGAAATTTGGCTGCCTAACACAGACAAGACAGTGCCTTCCCCATTTCATGTACAGAAACTAACCAAACTGGTGGGTGAGTCATCTTTCCATACAGGAAATAGCATAGCACCCTCCCCTGCACCTTAAGGCAGCAAACTAATTTGGGGGGGTTTGGGTAGTCTGCCTGGCATACATTACTATTGTCCAACACATTGGCACTGCCACCAGAGGCAGCTGCCTCACTTTGCCTAACAGCAGGGCCAGCCCTAAAGAAGCAAGAGGCCCATCTTGGTTTGGAACCACAGTATAGATTATTGTTGCTTTCTGAGAAGGTAAACTGAGTGTATTCTTACATGACGCTTCTTCAGATTGGACCTGCCTCTTAAATAGATTGAAAACAGGGCCATTCTTCGCAGAGAGTTCACAGTTCATCTAATACTGAGTCATTGGCACCTTCCCTTGAAGCTAAAGCTAACCTTCAAAGCTTTATGGACAAGGATTTACATAGGATTTAATAAACTTGTTAAAAATTTTATTTGGTGCAAAAATTTTATTTGGTGACTGGGTCAGTTCTAAATCTTCTTTGATTGTCTCAGAATAGATGAATAGTGTTTCCCATTAAATATACTGTTTTGCAGGGTGCTTGTTCTTGACTCAGGAAGAATTGCTGAATTTGATACTCCAGGCAGATTGTTACAACAGAAAGGCATGTTTTATGAAATGGTAGCAGAAGCTGGAATACAGCAAAACAGAGACAGCTAATTTATTATGAACACTGCATGCCTGTTTCCCCCTGAATTTTGCTGTAAGGATAGTTGTCATTATTTGTTTCATTATATAATTTTAAGAGAAGAAAGTAATGGACCTGCTAGAAATGTATGCGTTTAATACAAGGCATATGTTCTTGCATAAATCATTCATGTTATTTTTGCTAAAATGATTTGTACCAGATGTTTAGTCATGGGATATTCATGGGTATGTCTTTGTGTGGTTTGGATAAGGGTTCTGGACCATCTGCTATATTTTAATGGGTCTTCTTAGCTACATTAATTTCTAGGGGTATAATTAGTTTCATATAGGGCAGTATACAAAGAGAATGCTATAAGAATCATTAGAGTTTCCTTAGAATCTAAGCTAGGTGTGGGTATCTTTTCACTACCTAAAGCTGCACTGTGGGTAGAATGTGCCAGAATGGTTAGGGACAAAAGCAGAGCAAGTAGTGGGCATTACCCCTTTGCACATATGTGTGCATGCTAAATGTGTGGTGTATCCTTTTAAAGTGTGAATCCAATAATGGGCATTATCCCTGTGCACGTGTGTGTGCAAAATGTGTTGGGTATCCTTTGAAAGTGTGAATGCAGCAAGATCTGCTCATCCAAAGTGCTCCCTCTCTGGCAGGGCACACCTGTTCAAAGCATGGATCAGGTGTGATCACCCCTTTCAAAGGACGGCTTTCTCCCTACCTGGGTGGGGAAGAGGTGACTTGCTATCCAGCCAGATGGGGAATATTTTTTGAAAGCATTTTCTGGGGCCGGGACAAACTCAGAAACCCTAACCCCTACCCCTTAGAGTAGGAGTGGAAAACCACTTTCAGTCCAAGGGGTGAGCTGATTCTCAGGGAAGCGCTCTGGGGCTGGATTCCAGTGGTGGGTGAGGTCACAATCAAAAGGGGTAGGTCCAAAAATACGCACATCATTATATTGCAGTTTACAGCACAGACTGCCCATAATTAAGTCTCAGAAGAGACATTTGAACCTTTTAAAATGAGTGTGGGGGGAACTGCAAAAAAGCTAGGAAATCACCAAATCATTGGCAGTGGAAGGAAAGGATGTGGCCTATAAAGTGTCAGTTTGGCCCTTAGGCCTCAAGTGCGCCCCCCCCCCCCCCATTAGAGAACAATGTCTGAAGGTAACACAATTTATTCAACAGTTTTAGGCCATCCATGGTAGGATATGTAGCTGCCATACGGTTTAGCCCCTGAGCTCACACATGACACAAATCATTTTTAGAGCAGAAAACTCTACATGCACCTCTCTGGGTCTTTTTTCACTTTCATGGTGTTGGGAAATACAAAGGCTACATTGACAGAGGTGACTGCATCTATGCTAGGGCTTTGGGTTCAGTATCTACTCCTAAGTTAAGTCACATAAGATTTATATAGCATTTTAACTGGCTGCAGTAACAAGGAGTTGCATATAAAATTATATTAAATTATTGGGTGAAACTTAGATTCAAGTAAGCCCCCTTCTCCTCTTAGGGATAGTCCTTGAGGAAAAGAACACTCTTGAAATGAGTTTGTTAAGTCCTTAGTGTTGAAATTAGGTTTTTCCCAAGTATAAGAAGTTAGGGGTGGAGCTTATCAAAAGATTTCTGAGACATATGCTGGTATATCTTTACAGATGGACACAGCAAGTATATCAGTTTGTAAAATCATGTATAAGAATTGCCTGTACATTCTATTTTACCTTGTGATGTAAAGGGTTTGCAGGAGACAGGATGTCTTTTCCCAGAGCTGCTAGGAATAGGGCCTTTCTTCAGCTGCTCCATATCTGGAATGCTGTCCCCCAGAAGATTCACCTGGCACCTTCTTTATACTCTCTTGGTGCGAGGTGAAGACCTTCCTTTTTAAAAAAACATTTTAATTAATGCCATTTGACCTTTGTTTTGTAATCCTGTCTGTATTTTATTGATATTTTATTTTAATATGTGCTAATTGGTTTTAATCTTGTGTTTGTGAGCCGCCCAGAGGTGCTGTGGCATGATTGAGTGGCATACAAATGTTATAAATATATAAATAAAGCTCTACGCTTTTACCTATTGGAAGAATGATGCAGAAATAGGCTGCTTTCTGAGCATACCTGTCCTTGTGGTTTAAAACAGGTAGAAGAGCTTATTAATAATCAGTTATATTACACTGCATTTTGTGTAATGTGATAAGTAATGTAATGTTAAGTTACATTGCATTTTGTGTAATGTGCTGAAGGAAAAAATATTTGGGTTAGAGTGATTTGTCCATGAGGTTATAATCTACGTACTTTGTAGGTGAGTTGCCTAAATGCAGTCAGTACAATTTCTGTGTACAGTATTGGTGTTAAGAAATATTAAAATGCTCTATGTCAGAGAGATCCAGAACTTTAAATTTACCAGTGATTTTATAAAAGCGACTGTACCTCTGTGTTAATATTTAGTATCTTTGGTTAAATTTTTGTTCTGTGATGGTCTAACAATGAACAATAAACCAATCTGAACCTGTGACACTTACTTTGCTTCTCTGCTTCTCACTCAGTGGTGGATCTCAGCATTGTAACCAGTTAGAGGGATCAGCTGCAGTGTAGAACTTCTTTGAACAACCTGATGACTCATGGAACTTAGATGTAGTCAGGATGCACAACAGCACAATTGGGCCAATTTATAGCTGCCCCAAGCTGGCCTAAGTTGCAGGTGTTATTTTTGTATCACCTAGAGCTTTTCAGGAGGCACAGTTGTCAAGAAGGCAAACGGATCAAGGTGTATCCCTCAATTATACTTGTCAGGTAGGAGGTCATGCTATACAAGATAGCTGGCTATAAGGCATGGAAGTCATATGAAGGATGTTTCCTACAAGCTTCCCATCTCAGCACTTATCAGATGACTTCCTTAACTGTGTCAGGAAGCTGTTTACTTGTTTTTAATCACTACTTAAGAGGAGAGTGAATGCAGCATGGTCACTGATTTTGTATTCCTATTGATATTGTAATGTTTTGGTTGGCTTGTGTTGCCCATTTCAGTAATAGTGCTTCATGTTTGTCTAACTGTATACTTTAATCACATGGATACATTTGTTTAAGAATTGTTTTGTCCAGTTTCAACAGCTGCTGGGGTAGTAAAATACTGAAGTCATAATCATGTCAGCCAGTAGGGACTGATTTCCAGGTTTGCTCTAATGCACCATTTTTGCTTGCCTTGTTTTTTATAGCTACTGACTGAGCAACAATTGCTATTGAAATCTGAATTTTAGGAAATAACTACATTGCTAGACCACTTCTGTCACAATGGCATGTAGTTCCTGATTCTTGTTTTTACATATTCCTATACCGTATTTCCCTTGCACTGAAACCTAGCTTTAGTCAGTAACACATTGTTAGAGGGCTCAAGTTCCTAAAGCATAATAATTCAAATTCAGTTGAGTTTGGCAATTTGCCTTTACAAATAACTTTTAATACTATTAAAAGTTACAAATAACTTCATACTATTTTAGATCTACTTTAAAAGATTCATTGCTCCATTTGTATTTTTTCACGATTATGAATTCTTTGCATGTAACACATAAGTTGATCATTTTGTAACAAATTCAGTCTGTTGGGATCTCTGCAACTGAACTCAGTAACAAGGTATGAGGACGTATGTTGGATAGGAATTTTTCCACCATTTTCTTTTGCATTTATTATGATGGAAACAAAGCCACAACATTAAGACAAAATAATAGCATAACACTGTACAAGGTGAGATTGTAGTTAGAAGTGAGTTGTCAGCCTTATAGCACAGAATGCCACCCTAAAACCACTTCTATTGTATTGCCAGGCCCTTGCTTAGACAGAAATCTTGTAAGTATCAAAGTACCAATAAAAAGTACTTTATTATAATACAAAAAGACTGTTTTGTAAATAATCTCCAATAAAATTTGTTTCCAGCCAGAAAAGTCATCTCTCAATCAGTCTGCAACCCATTTTATGTACCACAATACAGTAGCAGCAGCAAGAGATAGCAAGGATTAAAATAGATACACAAATAGAAGTTGTCTTTTCATTGATTAATTTTATAGGAACGCATGAGAACAATTTGAATGTATAAGGTTTTTTTAAAAGTCAATGATTATATTGAATAACATTTTATTATTCCATTGCATGTCAAAAATATGGTCACATGTATTTTCAGAAAGTTTTCTCTCTGAAGTAATGCCCAAAATATACTACTTTCTTTGCAAAATTCTAAATTCTTTCTAAACCTCCATTAAGGTGAAAACCTGTTAATCTCTGGTCAAATTCTACAAGTTACTGCACCAGCAGTAACTTCTAGTACAGCATCTCAGAACCTTGGAGTTAAGGATGCTGGGAAGCCTGCCCAGCCTCATTTAATAAAGGATAACTGAGTTTGCTTTATGTGCAGAGAAGTCGGCTTCAACTATGCCTGTGTAAGCTGCCATTTGCACCACAGCATTTTAAGTAGTCCTGTAGAAGCAGTGCTACCAAGAATAGTTCAATTTTTCTTTTTCAGAAACTTCCAAGAAGGCATTTTGGTTTCCAAGCAATGTGAATTTGAGATAAAAATTTATTCCCAGACTGTAAGTCTGAAGTATGCTTCATTTTTTAAAACTTAAAATTGACCTAGTTTTGAAGTTTAGCTTGTATCTTCTCTTGCTACATAACATCCTCCATTGACAATGCCATGTTCTCAGTTTTAAATAAAAATTAACTGAGAAACAGCATTTACAATAAGCTCTGCAAGGCAAAGCTTTTTTCTTTTTGCTAAATGAGCAAAAAGTATGATCCTTACCCCAGCAATATAGTGAAGCATTGCTACCAGTTTAACCAAAAGGAGTTGGCCTTTTATTGGCAAGATCAAAAGGTTAAAGATCTCATGCACGTTCTGTTCATGAGAAAAATGCAATTTATATTTGTCTATATATTTCTACAGATACTGAGAAGAGATCCACTCAACCTGAATAAGGTTTATATTTTCTTCAACCATTTTCAATAATCTGCCATCTACACTCTCCTTTTATTTAGCTCCACTCTTGATGCTATGCAGTTTTTAAAAATAAGGTCCCATTAAAATGACTTGGTGGCTACTTTCAATCATAAATAAGACAGGAAGGACCAAATCCATTGATACAGCTAGGCTTACACAACAGCCAGTGGAATCTTTGGTATTTTTAGCTGACACCTAAGAATTCAGAATACCCATTTATCACAAAATGATTTTGAAAGTCTCCTCAATTTTAAAAGTGATTTGCCTTGTTCAATGGGAACTTTGCAGGATGGAGAGAAGGAACCAGTCTAAAGCTCCTTGAATTCTTAGAACATAATATAGTATGTGATATGTACACAGTGACTATGGAACAGATCACAAAATGATATTCTGCTTTACACATAGCAGTTTCAATTCTCCTTGAAAACACACCCCTTTCCAGTATTTAGAAAAACCCTCCTTTCAACCAATACAAACTTTTTGAATAATGAAAGGATACCCAAGTTTCAGCAATGTGCCCATTCTATATATTAGGCCACTCTGTACAATAAGTTTTCCTTTACGTAGAAATGGTCCTCACACTGTTTTGACATAGTGCCTGTGTGGTCAAATACCATGCTTGTAACTGCTTCCAATTATGTAAGCAAATTTTCTATCAAGCAGAATCAGGAAAATTGCTCACACTCACATATCAGACTGCCTGGTTCATACAGTTGGCCATGTGGATGAATACCAGGAACACTCCACCTTGCTTACATTTACAGCGCAACAATTGGTGTGAATATTTGACATCTGAATTACAGAATAATCCGTATGTCTCTTACTGCAAACTAAGAAGCAAACCCAAAATGAACAGTAAACAATGAAATGTTTACTTCCATACTGCTGACCAACATAAACAGCTTGAAAATACCAATGTTGTCATTAGTAATAGAACGTTCCCCTTTCAAAAAATCTTACATTTCTCTTCAACACCTTCTATCAAAGCACTAAACTTATTTCAAAGTTTTTTTTAAAGGAGTGGTTAAAAAAAGACTGCTCTAAAGTGTACGAACAGAAAGCTTCATGAAGCATGGATAGAGTTACTAGCATTATAAATAGACTTTAGCAGTAAAACCCCATCAAATATATTGGATTCATTTGAACACTACCATAAAGTATGGTTTAGTGGTACATGAGCTAACTTCTTTTTCCTTTAGTGTGGCCAAACATGGACAAATACTGGTTTACTGAAGCAGGTTAACTTCAAACAATGGTTTATGAAGCTGGCTTGTTTCAGTAAACCATAGTTAAGATTAACCAGTTTCAGGCATTACACTAAATTATGGATAACTGAAAATGGGAGTGGACTTTTGAATCCTCACAGCCTTGTCCTAAGAAAAGAAGAGAATGTACAAGGCTAAGGCTCATTCATATTACAGTAATCAATAGCATGGCCTTCTCCAACCTATTGCCTGCCAGATGTTTTGAAGTACAACTCTTATCATCCCTGATCATTGGCCTTGCTGGCTGGGGCAGAAAGAAATGGAAGTCCTAAACAGCTGTAAGGGAATGAGGTTAAGTTACACAATATGTGAAAATTCCAGTTGGTAACATGCATTCAGCTATTAGCATCCATCTCTACATTGGGAGTCACCATACATAACCATTGCCCTTTACTACATCAGAGAAATATTTAGGGGGTACCCCAATATTAATGACTCACCATAGCTACTGCTGTTAGCATATTAAACAGGAAATGATAATATTCAGGTTTGAAGAAAACATTGAGAAAAGTGCTCTTAAACACCATTTAAGTTGAAGTTCAGCTGTGCTATCTGCATTAATACTGCTACATGCCAGGCCAGGCCAGGCAGTCAATACAAACTCCTGGGAATGCCAGGATACAATGTCAACACTATATCCACCATTACTCTAAAATTATTTCATTCCATTTCAAGTAATGAAGTATTGAGGTTCTGTCGATTATTAGATTAGGGAAAAAAATAAAATCATGCTTCAGAAGCAATGCTTCTGATCATTGGCATTCTTTCACAAATGAGCTCACATATTCTTGTAGCTCAAACAGAAACATTTTTTTTCAATTTTAAATTTCTAATCCCTTAAGCAGGAAAGGAATGAACTAAGTGCACCGAACAGTCCAACAACATGCAAATGGAATTAAGTTAGGACATACGCTGCTTAAGTAATGGAACTAAAAACAATGGAATGGAATATAAACACTGAAGCTCAGTTGAAATTTGTCTTTCGTAAATGCCTGTTTGGGATTTCCACAGCACTAACTTGAAGAGGCCAAGATCCTCCAACAATTCCTGCCTGGATAGCCACCCCTATTACCACTGCAAGGTCTGGATCAACAGATGTGTTGGGTTTCTTCCCAAAGAATTCTGTAATCACTTTACGTATTCTTGGAATTCGGGTGGAACCTCCAACTAATACAATCTCATCTACTTCTGTCTTGTGTAGATGTCCTTCTTTCAATACCTGCTGGATGGGTACAAGGATCTTCTCAAAAAGGTCCGCATTTAATGTCTCAAAGAGTTTCCGGGAAATTTCCATTTCAAAGAGAACTTTTTTCCAAGCATTGGTCTGTGTTTCTGAAAAGCTGTCCCTCCTGTTCTCTTTCATCACAGGTTCTATTTCTGAGTGTGCATTTTCATGCTGATTATATATCGTCTTCTCTTCTTGTACATCTTCAGATTGTTCCTTCTCTGGCATAGTAAGAGCAATCCTGATTGTGGAAGAATTATGAATTGTCAGGTTTAGTTTAATGGCTTCTACAGCCTGCCTGAGTCTATGTATTTCTTCCTTTTTGGAGGGCAGAGAGCTATATGTGTGATAGATCTCATTATACAGGTATTGGATCAACCGTTGATTGAAGTCCTGTCCTCCAAGTTTATTGTTACCTAAAACAAAGCCAACATACATCAGACAACTCACAGCATGAGAGCAATATAGCCCCAACTGTATATAATACTTAGGAAAATTTCTGTACATATTTTTAGTACTACATATTCCACAACAAGCCTGCATGACATGTATTATGCCCACCTTGAAGAAATTATATAGTAAGCAAATATAGGTCAGTCAAATGATATATATACATGCTAGGCCAAAAAAATAATGCAGGACTCGAGAGGCAACACATCAGAACTGCAATCTAGCATAGCACATTCTTAAGACATAAAGGTTTTTTCTTTACCTGCCATCGCTCTCGTCAGAAACATTCCTCCTTGCTTGTTCAGCAAAGAAACATCCAGTGTTCCTCCACCTAGATCTACTACCAAAACATTAGACACATCCGCCTTGTGGAGACCGTATGCCATTGCTGCAGCAGTGGGCTCATTAATTACCCGCAGTATTTCCAGACCTTCAAAAGCAAAACAAGTTGTCAGTATTTTCAATTTTTACTTGCTGACAAATTAAAAAAAGATCTATTAAAACAATCCAAATATGAAGGTTAAAGTTTTGCAACAGCCTTTCCCATACTGGTGCCCTTCAGAGGCTTTAGGCTATAACTCATCCCTAGGCAGCAGGACCAATAGTCAGGGATGATTAGAGGTGTAGTCCAAAACATCTGGAGCGCATCACATCTGGGAAGGTTGATTTGGACACATCTACTCTGGATCTCTTTCTTGAGCAAATACTCTTGTTCTGTGTTGATATTTCTCCCCTAAAATATTACAATGTTTTATTTTAACCTGTTCACTATTCTGGACCTTTGCCCATCATTTCTAATGTTTTGCAAGTAGATGCTATTGTATCTAGACTGGCACATTATACACATGCCAAACATGATATCATGAATTTAGTAAGGAGTAGAAGGGAAAATGGGCATCACCTGCAAGGCTAGCTGCCTTAATTGTATAGTTTCGTTGCCTTTCATCAAACTCAGCCGGCACTGAAATAACTGCTTTTGAAACTGGCATTCCAAGGTAATCCTCTGACATCCTCTTCAATTTCAAAAGAAGCTGAGAACCAATATATTCTGGTGTTACATTGTATGTCTCATTAGTTGCAACAGAAAATTCAGCAGCTCCCTTGTTGTTAATGATCTGGTGGAGAGAAAAAAAAGACAGTAGAATCTTTCAGAGTGAAGCACATTTCACAGGCTGGGATGCCAACCTTATGAGGAAATGAACCTAAATATACACAGCAAGATTTACTTTCAGATAAACATACAAAGAATTAATAACTAAAATAAGTGTGTAGAAGCCACGCAATCATGCCAGAATTTATCCTTTATCGAGAGCCCCAGGTATTGGTCTATATATAAATGAATTAAATAAAAAATGACAAATAAAATCACTCTGCCTGAACTAGTTTTACATTATCTCCAGTCATTATTATATTCTGGATTAACATGATACAAGTATCAATATCCTGAAGAAATATGTAGTAAAAATTAGGTAGTCCCAGAACCACTGATATATTTCAAAGTAGTAGCAACATGCAACCATGCTTCAATTGGGGCTAACCAATCAATTCTCACCACTCAACTTTACCTTCTCCTAGAGCAAACATACACAGCTTAGGTCTTTACTAATGCATTTATATGTCTTGTACCCCACCTTTCTACAAAAAGTAACACTCAATGGTTTCTAGTATGTTCCACAGTAGGCGATATTGAGCTGCTCAAACACACCTTAGTAGCAAACCAGTAAAGAAAACTTTAAGCTCACCTTAAATGGGTATCTTCTGCTTTCATTTATGAGTTCTTCTGGCGTGAAGATCTTCCCTATAAACCTCTTGGCATCATACACAGTGTTTTGTGGATTGGCATCAGCCAGCTCGAGCCCATCATATCCCACATAAACATCTTTCTCAGTGAATGACACTATGCTCGGGATGCTGTTGTGCCCATTTTCATCAGGAATCACTTTTACCAGCCCTGTGCCAGGAAGGAAGACGCCAACTGAACAGTATGTAGTGCCAAGGTCAACCCCTATTACTTTTGGTGTTGGCATAGGCAAATACTGTTGGGCCAGATATCCAGCTAACAAGAGTGTCAAAACAGCAGAACCTAAACAACAGGAGAAAAATTTAAGGAAGTCAGATAATTCGCCCCAGACAGAAATACGCACCATTTTATAAACTTGTTATCATGTCTTCATAGCTGTCTTTCCCCCCTAAAATACAGGCTTGCTTTACTGTCTCTTTGCAGGGAAGATCCACAACTTTCTATCTATTTTGCTTCTACTTTTCTCAATGCATCAGGAAAAGCTTTTCTTTTGAACTGAATTATATTCTCAACAGAGCTACAGCACAGATTTGGATAAAAACAGCTTGGTATTGGAAGTTTTATTTCCAGTCCCTTTCCTAATAACCCCTATCACAAGCTCTGGCTTTTTCACAACCACAGCACAGTGTATTTTTGTTGACCTCTCATACAAGCCAAGGATAGGTTTATCATTCATCCCTGCCAGTTCTCTGAAAGAGGTGCTTCAGGCATTTCCCAGATGGACCACAAAATCTGTGCTACCCCCCGCCCCCCAGGAAAAAAGCCAGCTTCCTAGAGAAACCCACACATTTTTCTTCACTTTTTCATTTCCGCATTTCAGCTTTGCCCACCCTGGTGTTCTTCTAATGTTTTGTGCTACAGATGGCGAAGGGATGACAAAAGCTGTACAGTCTAAGGTTGGAGAAGACTGCTTTACATCCGAGCCACTCGTTTTCCTTAGGCCATACCAACTACTGTTCAATCTCCAACCAAAGAAATGCATTTACGAAGGACGTGCTCCAAAAAGGCAACCTTGCGCTACAGTCATCCTAAAGATGTTTTCACTTAATGTTGCACATAAAAAACAGGGGCTGAGACCCTCTAAAAGCCACCTAATGCAGCATCCCACCTACAACTGTCCTTGAAAAGATACACTGCTACTGATAGGGGAGGCTCCACTGACACCTCTTCTGCCAGTATTTTTCCCTTATCCTAATACGATGCTAAACGCCAGTTTTCAAAGCACAAACCGGGGCTGAACCCTTAAAGAGATTACTCCCAAAAAAGCATCAGGAGGGGAAAAGACGAGGATACATGAAGCTGACCGAAGGACCGAGCAAAGCCTCATCCACCTGGTTTTAAGTAGACCATCGTCACTCACCCAGCACCGTCATTTCTCCGGCCATCTCCGGCAACGCGTCGGCCCGGCCTGCTCCTATGAAAGCCCGACTGCTACGCTGCGTGGCCCTAACCGGCTTCCTGGGTCGTTTACCGGTTTGCTGACTGTACCTTCGTTTCGCATGAACAGCCCGAAAAAACCTCGCGCCGCTATGAGCATGCTGGGAAATGTAGTTCCGCGTGACCTAGACGCTAATGCAGTCATAGAGGAAAATAAACTGCTCTACCCATCATCCCACGCGACTAAGCCAAGCTCGTTCTTGAGAGCGAGGTTAATTTAAGACACGTTCCCCAATCCGTGTGAAGGGTCTGCTGGAATGGGGAGGGACTTTCCACTGACGTCTCAAGGAAGGGGTGGGGTAAAAATTATTGTTATGACGGAGTTCCTTTGCTTTGCCTGTCGGGGCGGGTAGTTTGCTATGGTGTTAAGCAGGTTACCTTGTGTAGTGGTTTGAGATTTGTCGTTCAGTAGGTGGCAGCGATAGGGGCTTCTGCCTTGCTGTGCCTGTAAACACCAGCAGAGGTGGTGATTTTCCGGGCTGTGATGAGGAGGGGGGCGGGCGCCTCTTTGTACTTTCAGTTGAGCTGGGTAAGTTATAGGTTCACCAGTGATGGAGCTAGGCTGTTTAGGCTGTCGGGTGAGGTCCTGGACTTAGGCATCCAAAGCCTGGCCTGATGGCCGCACTGAATATTCTCTCCGTCTTTATTTACTCCCTTGGTCTCACTTGAAGGGTTTGGGATGGGTGATGCCATGCTTTTCTTTCCCTGCCACCAAAAGACAGTTTGAATAAGATTAAACACATACACACCCTCACATCATTTGCAGAGCACTTCAGGTTTGGACTTTGATGTGTCTCTTAGGTAGAAGAATTGCACAGATGAGGATAAGTTACATGGGACACATGTCGGTGCCTCCTGAGCCCCGGCTGGACTTTCCTTATCCGTGCAGAAAGAGCACGTGAGGGGGTACCAAGATGGTGGTTTCATACGTCATGTCCAGACTATGCCTGAATTTTCATTTAGGCTTTGTATCTGCAGTTAGGTAGGTTCTTTTATAGGATTAGAAATACTGATTGCAGAGTGTTCCAGTCTTGTGGAAGAGCCTACCCATACATAGCTGTGCACATGTTGAAACCTCTATTAGACTTTCCAGTGAATGTGTGGATCCTGGGTGAGGTAGGCATCATTAAAAAAGAGAAAGGGCGTCACAAAGATGAGTGTCTAATTTTGTATAAAATTTGCATATAGTGATTATTAATAGTAGTTGAGTATTTAAAAATAAGTACTATATGGAGTGCATTCAATAATGTTCTACTTAGAATAGACTTACATTGGCTGTAACCCATTAATCTAAATCAGAATACAGTGCACCTCACCATATTTAAAACTGACTGACCTGTGATCCTGTACAGACTGCTGTCCTTACACTTTTCAATGATGGAAACGTTGGGACCCATGCACTTGGTCTGTTTCTTTAAACTGGATATAGACCGGACAATTCTTCAAATAAAAGAATCTCCTCTGTAACATGTGATGCCTGGCTATTCTACTAGATGTATATGGCCTGTTATTTCAATGTGGTTGATAAAACAAGTAAAATAAAATATTGAAAGAGACATTAAGGTGAAAGAGAGAAGCTCTGAACAGGGCATTTCTGCTTCTGATTTTCATGTAAACAAAGAAGTATTCCTCAATACTAAAAGCTCTGAAGGAACTTCATTCTCAAAACAGATTCCTTCCTATGTTGTGTTCAGAACTGTGTAACTCATCAGCTGTACTGGAAGACCCATCAGCTCCAACTGATCTACTGCCATCAAAAGTTCTTAGAAAAATTAAATTTGCACATTTAATTGTTTTTACTTAACTTTTAAACCCTTTAAATATTTTACATTCAAAACCTTTAAATATTTAACTTTAAATATTTACTTCTTTTAAAAGTACTCTTCCTCAGTACTGTTCCTTTAAATGTTGATAGCAGCGATTAAAAGGTGATTTTATTCAGTACCGCAAACAGGAGTTAAGCTTGCTTCCACTGATGAGGTTGCTATTTATTGAAAAGATTCTAAAATTGCCTTTCAGAAAAACTACCAGGGTATTATTCAAAGTGGTATACAGAGTGTCCAAAAACAGTACAAAAGCACAGTTTAAAGCACAACAAAAGCAGCAATATAAATATTCAACATAAAAATATGGTAGAATAAAAATGGTTTTGAATCTACTATCATAACTGACATAATGTGTGGAACACTCCCATACATCCTTCTAGAAGAACCTCTTGGGTGCCATGAGCTTTCTGTTTGCTCATCACTCAATTTTAAATGGAATAAGTTCAGAGGTGAACGTCTAATAAAAAGCACAGTATTTGGGCAGACTTATGTGATAATGGTCACGCTGTACTAAAGTAAAATACGAACATCCTACAAAATAGTGCCTTATATGTAGGAACTGTCAGAATTAACTGTATTCCTTAAATGGAAATACACCCACAAGTAAACACTTGGCATGGAAGGGTCTGGATAAAATGTGTTACTCTCTTTTTCATTGTAAAATGACAGTTCAGTGATCACTACCAGCCCTTGAGACTAATCTAGTATATTATTACATGTGATTAATTTATAGTTTATAATTGAAGTGACAACATTCATTGGAGATGTACCTGCATTTATTGTAAGCCATATTAGAAGTCTCCTTCCTGTTAAAATGGCAATTGCCATTTCTATGTGGAGACTTGCTCCACTTCTGGCTTTCACAAGAAGATGCAGCCAAAAAAGTTTGGAGCTCTCTGATGTACCAGGGTTATTGCTGATCCTCACTTGCAAGATTCAGCTTGGCAAGTAAAAAGAATAATTGGGCTACTCTGCTGTCAAGAGAAGTTATTACTCTGGACATTTCTGATGTAGCTATAGCTATACACATTTCCCTGGGAATAGTACAAGTATAACTTACAATGAGTTTGGGCAGGGGGAGATGTTCATTTTATTGTTTTTTATAGTTCCCAATCCCTTTTCTTTTTGGGTTGGGTTTTTTAAAACATAAGCCTGAGGACAGGAACTGTCTTACCTTTGTAAACTGCTTTGGGAACTTCTTTTTTTCAGAAGAAAACAATGTTTAAATAAACAAGTGTGACTTCTAAGTAGCTTTTTTCCCCTGAATTACTAACTTTACCCACATGCAGCTTTATTTTAACTAGGCTGCAATCCTGTATTCAATTTCTGAATTTAGTGAGCTTTATGTGTGAATTAACGTATCAGATTGTACTGTAAATCAGCTAAAATTGATTCATATGTTTGATTAAAACTTTAAAAAATCAGATGATAAACCTATTTGTGAGAAAAAGTTCACACAACCAATTTGTGAGTTTTAAATTGAGTTTTCTTGATCATAGCAATCTGTATTGGTATGCTTAAATGGATATTTTACATTGTTGTAAAACAGATTCTATGACCCAAGGTATGTCTTTTAGGTACAGAACACATTTCTGGGCCTTCCATAAGAGAAATTATGTTGAATGTTCCGATTAGTGTCCATTGCATTTTTAGCTTAGCTAATTCTCCTTATTCTTTTGGGAGGGTCATCCGTTCCAGTCCAATGTATTATTCATATTTATAAGGTATGAAACATGTTTTGAAAGACTAGAGTCCAATTCATTGAGTGTTGGATGGATAATCCTCTGTTACAAGTATATATAGATACAGAGGCGAAAATAGGATCAGATAGAAACTGTGAATGGTGCAGGCAGTTACATTTATTTTCCACTAGATGTCAGAATATTACTAGAAATTTAATTGTGAAACAATTCTGAATTGTTTCTAATTCACAGACAGCACATTAACTTTTGGTAATCCTTATGCACATTTTTGGAAATTCATAAATCATAAACAAGGTACATCATTTTCTGCTTATTATATTTAATTCTCTAGGTCTAACAAATTCACTGAATCTTCCTATGAAATCATTCTGAAAATTGACAATGAAATCCATTCTTTCATTTCCACAAATACACCCACATTATTACAGTCATATTATGTATTTGCAGTTTGTAGGCAAATATCCCATCAAGGCAGTGGAACTTTTTCATGGACACTCAAAACCATATATTTTGAATCATGTGCCTAAGCAGTGCATTCACTTAATTTATGCTTTAAAAACTTATGCATGTAGCAACACTTACTACGGTAGTGTTCAAATTTGGTAGGAATGTTGGATGAATATTATGTGACAGCTATGTGGTTCCGTGTTTTTCCATAGACAGAACTCTTGAAGAGATGTAGAATAATGGCCACATATTCTGGCAGTTTTCCTTTTTGTACGTAAAACATCTCTCTATCTCTTTCAAAAGATGCCTGTCTTTCCCTTCTGCCTGCTACTTAGAAAGGGGAAGACTAGATTGCATCTTCAGGTCTCAAGATACCTTGAAAGGCACTCCTGGCTAGCTTTTCTCCAGCAGAGAGCAATAAAATTCTGATAGAGACAAAGGTCAGCTGGTATGGAAGGAACAAAACGGACATTGGTTCATCAAGATAAGGCGTATCAGACAGATCTTCTAGCAGTTCAGAAGGTCCCCATCTTCCAGTTTCCATCTTTAAGTTTTATTGCTGCTGCCTCTCTTTCTCATCCATCACAAAAAAGTTTGATTGAGCCCCTTTATAATAAGTTTTGTCTGATGAATATGAAGATCTACTTAAAAGATGTGATCTCTAAGGATATTTCTTCACATGGACCCTAGATACAGAATAGTAGGCATTTGGGATGTGCATGTGATTCAGTCAAAGCCCAAGCCAAGTTTCCCACACTTTCCCAAGGTGCAGTGGGCTTCCATCCAAAGTGACCAGAACCAAAGCTGGACTCTGGATTCAAACTTTCAAATATATTGTGCTTTCCTTTCTCTAAATGCTGATGGAAGGAGAGAGACTGAATGGCAGGTGCCTTAAGATCAGGTCAGAAGGCCCTTCTTCAAGGACCATCTTTCAAAGAGATGAGATGCTTCCTGCCTTTGGAATAGTCTCCTCAAGGATGTCCGCCTAGTGCCATCCCTTATTCTTTTGGCACCAGGCTAGAACAATCCTTTGTAATATCTTTTTTAGTAATTGATTCTTCCCT